TGACGACGGAACAACCGAACATTCAAAAAATGTTTTCCAGACGTTATCGAAGCCTCAGAGGATTTCTACAAAACGTTACTGTAACGTGTAGTTTCTTAAAGGGGGAACACATGATGGAACGTTCTTCAGCAGGAAGTTTCCACAAGAACAAAAGGAGGATGTTCTCAATGCAACAGTCAGAAAACGTTTAGAAGATGTTATTGATACCTCGGCCGATAGAACGCTCTTCATAAGACGTTCCTGTACTGTGATGCCTGCAATGTTCTGAACATGTTTTGGAAACATTGCTGATGATGGAATCTATTAAACGTTCCTACAGTGTTCCATGATAACAGAGGAGGAACGTTCTCAGTGCAACATTCAGCTTTAAGAACGTTTGGGCACATCAGTCTGACAACGTCATCAACAAACACTTTTAGAACGTCTTTAGCTGTTCTGCCTTTAAGAAAAACATTCTGGGAACTAAAATAAAACTTTCCTTTGAAAACATCTGAATTTGCGGAACTTTCTCAGAACGTGTTTGGAGCCAAACACTCGCAGCTGCTGTGGTTCCAGAAGGATGTTCTCAGTGCAACAGTCAGAAACATTGAGAGGATGTTTTCGAGACGTTCCTGTCCTGTGATGTTAACAGAGGTGGAACGTTCTGCCTGCCTGAGGACGTTCTGGGGATGTTGCTGAGGGAACACATGATGCGTTCCATGTGGACGCAGGCTCTCAGTGCAACGTTCAGTTCTGAGAATATTGGAGCGTAACGTTCTCACAGTGTTTTCGCCAAACAGATTTAGAACACTTTCAGCTATCCTGCCTTTCAAAAGAACATTAGAACTTTTAGAACAGAACTTTGCTTCTGGGATGTTGAACAGGATCTTAGCAGAGCTCGTGTGTTTCCAGCAAAGTGAAGAACCTGAACAGGTGCATCAGAGACAAATGATTGTAATCAGAGACTCACGGTTGGAGCAGCGTTCTGGGCGGATGGCAGCAGGAACAGAGCAGCCCGATGAGTCCTCAGCGTTCCTGTTTCCTCGCCGATAAATGAAGAGCAGCTGACTGGAACAAAGACACGAGCCGGACTGAGTCACAGGACACTCAGTGTGCGTCTGTGTGCGCTAATAACAGGTGGTTTTGTTGTGTTGTCGCTCTGCTAAATGACAGACACACACTGGGTAAAGCCTGGCATTATGGAAACACAGGTCGCTGTCCGTCGCATTAATGCCAGACTGCAGCGCTGCAGACACACACTTTACTGCACAGGTAATGACAGGTGTGTGTCTGAGTGCGCACGTGTAGCACTGACAGCGTTGTTCCACCAAACACCTGACGTTAACACAACTCACACAGCTTCAAGCCCAGTGAAAGTCCCAAACCACAGAGTACCAGTACTCTGGTACAGAAACCAGAAGAGTAACGAAGCAGCTCTGCTGTGGTTTCACTGTAGCAGAGCTTCTGCTCAGGAACCAGATGTTCACCTGGTTGTCTTCAAACCATCTCTGTGGAGCTTCGGCTCATTGTCTCGATGGAAA